CTGGGCTTCCAGGTGCCCAGGTCTCCCCCTGCCCAGCACAAGTGAGGAAGGGTGGGTGGCAGACGCCTGGCGGAGCCAGCCAGGGTCACAATGCCTCTGTCTCCCCTGGGGATTGGTGTGGGGTGTCTTCCATGCGGCCAGGTTCAAGGAGGCCCAGGGCTGTGCTGTGAGCTGTTTATTTTGGGTTAACGGCCTGCTCTCAGGCTATATTTACCTTGCGAAGCTGTTTGCAATCTGATCTGATCTGATCTCTCTGGGACTCTGCTGGGGCCCTGGAGTCAGCTGCCAGACCGCAGGAGGCCTCCCTGCCTCAACTGTCCCCATCAGGGAACACATTTCCCAAATGGGAAGGGTTCTGGAGAAAGCAGTGACTTGGATGCCTGCGAAGCCTCTTCATCAGGGCCCATGATTTACACCAAGCCGTTACTTTCTCCTCACTGAATCACATCTTGCACACAGCCCCACCGGGCTGCACTTGGTTCCTAACGTGCATGGCCAGCCGGGAACAGTGGGGTCCAGGGAGGTAGTGGGGTGTCCTTCCTCTTCCTCTGAGGGCTGGCTCTCCCCAGCCCGAGGCTTGGTGTCCCAGCAGCTGCGATTTCTGGCTCTGGAGCCCGTAGTGTGAGAGATGGTGCAGATTGGGGTGGCTCTGGCCGGGTGAGGTGGGGTGCACGCTCCCCGTACGGGGTTGGGGATGGTACAGAGGAGCCCAGAGCAGGGGCCAGGACCGGGGCGAGCAGGGTTCACCTTCTCCAGCCTGGGTCGGAGTCTGGGACCTGTTTCTCTTCCGCTTCGAGCTCTGTTTAGCTTTTTAACTGAGATTTATTGAGCTTTGCCTAGGGCTGGCTTGTGCTAAACATTTACACTTCAGAACCTCATTTAACCTTCCCAGTGACTGAGGGAAGCGCCCTGTGACCTCCATTGTACCAAGGCTTTAGTTTATTTTACTTTATAGTACTGGGGGGGTGGTGAACTCAGGACCTTCGAACTAAGCTACATCACAACCCTTTTTTTAATTTTTCACTTTGAGACAAGGTCTCACTAAGTCACTCAAGCCCAGACTGGGCTTGAACTTCAACCCTCCTGCCTCAGCCTCCCAGAGTGGTGTCACAGGCCTGTGCCACATATAAATGGACTTTACAGTGGCTTTGACTTCAAGTCCCGTACTCAGTAGGAAGATAACCCTTTGGACCGCTGGTCTCACCTCTTTAGAGCCTCAGTTGACACATTCGTAAAAGAATAATACAATTGAGTCAAGCATACTGGCATATACCTGTAATCTCAGCACTCTGGGAAGCTGAGGCACAAGTTGAAGCCCAGCCTAGACAATTTGGCAAGGTCCTGTCTCAAAATAAAAAATAAAAGAAGGGCTGGGATGTAGTTCAGTGCAAAGGCCCTGGTTCAATCCTCAGTACTGAAAAAAGAAAAGGTAATAATGATGGTACTAAGAACTGTCAGCTCTTTATTGTATGCCAGGTCCGGTCAGGGGATCTGTGTCCTCTGAGCATCTTTGGATGCTGGTGACAGCCCCAAGCAGTAGGCCCTTTTTTTACAGACATGGAACCTGCATCAGAGGGAGGCTGTTATATGTTTGGAGGTCACCAGCGCATATGTGGAGCCAGGCCTCTGGCAGAGAGGGTGGCTGGGATATGAGGCTCGGCTTGGGATCCCTACTCCCCTAGACACCCACCTAGGGGCGGGGACGCTTCTGGAGAGGCTGAGTACCAAGGACCTGGAGCAGCCAGGCTGCGGCCTCTCCTCTTGTCCTTTCTCTGGTTTCAGGTTCCAGGACCGACCGAAGGGCCAAAACAGGAAGAGGAAGCCTGGGGGTGGGGAGGCGAGGCCTTTCCCAGGTGAGGGCAGGGCTGGGGGCATTCGGGGTGTCGCCCTAACCTGCCTGCCCCACTGCCCCTGATCCCTCACCCGGATGGACTGAGAGTTCTCAGGGTTGGCATTAGGCCACCAATGATCTATAGCCAAAATCGTGACGGCACTGTCCCAGATTTACAGGGGCTGGAGCTGTTTGGTAAACTCCCAGGCTACAAAATATCTATCTTCATTATATTTGTGGGAATTCTTTTTTTTTCTTTCCTTATTGGGGATTGAATTGAGGGTCTTCCTACTGAGCTGCATCCCCAGTGCTTTCTATTTGGAGACAAGGTCTTGCTCACTTCCCCGGATTGGGTTTATACTTTTGATCCTCCTGCCTCAGCCTCCCATAACAATGGGATTAGTTATGAGAATTCTTAGGCAAAACAAGGGAGCCTTTTGAAATGGTCTCAAAAGGCCTATGAACATACAAACCTGGGTGTTGTAAGGAGATTGCCTGCCTTTTTCCTCAGATTCTTAGAGGTCAGCTCTGGACTGTGACCTGGTTCTGGCCATGGCCCCCTTTCTCATAGGGGACGGTCCTCCCTAAGGCGCTATGGTAAAGCCAGGGTTTTCTGGGGCTGAGTCTACCCTCCAGGACAGTTTCAGGGAGACAGTGGTTTTGTGTTTGAGGTTCTAAACTGAATAATAACGGCTGAGTGTGGTGTGTGCTGTCATCCCAGCACTGGGAGGCTGAAGCAGGAATATCACGGGGAGTTTGAGGCCAGACTGGGCTACATAGCGAGACCCTGTCTCAATAAACAATAATAATGAAAGCTCACTTTTCCTGACCTTTGAACTCTGTGCCGGGCACTACGTATTTCATGTGGATGAGCTTAATCCTCCGGACAGCCCTCTGAGGCATGTACCATTACTCCCATTTACAGATGTGTAAACTGAGGCAGAGAAAGTTCAAAGACCTGCCAGAGTCATGCAGCCTAGCAAAGGGCAGAGGTGAGAGTTGGGAGCCAGGCAGGCTGGCAGAGGAGAGCTCGCCCCCTCCCTGGGGTCCTGCAGGGCTCAGGCTGCAGCAGCTCCCGCCCTGCCTGGGGCTGTTGGGCAGACATCGGCATCAGACTCCCCTCTGAGCCTGCCACTGAGACAGCAGCGCTCTGTAGAGTCACTGCCCTGCCAGGCATGGGGTACACACCTGCAGTCCCAGCTATTTAGTGTGTGTGCTGCCGCAGTGAGACCAGTCCCAGCTACTTGGGAGGCTGAGGAAGGATGGCAACTTCAAGGCCAGCCTGGGCAACTTAGTGATACCCTGTCTCAAACTCATTAAAAAGCTAGCATGCATCTGTAATGCCAGCACTTGGTAAGGCTGAGGCCAGAGGATCACAAGTTAGAGACCAGGGTGTCTCAAAATAAGTAATCTAAGAAAGGGCTGGAGGGGTGGCTCAATGTGCAGGCCCTGGGTTTAATCCCCAGGACCACAAATGAAGTGGAGTAGCTAGGCGTGGTAGCGTACATCTGTCATCCCAGCACTCGGGAGGCTGAGGCAGGAGGATTGTTGTGAGTTTGAGGCCAGCCTGGGCTACATAGTGAGTTCAAGGCCTGAACTACTCAGAAAAACAGAGAAACAACAAAAGCAGGGTGCTGGGGGTGTAACTCAGCGGTAGAGTGCTTCCCTAACATACCTGGGGCCCTGGTTTCAGTCCCCGCTTGATGCTGTTACTGTCACTGGTGCCTGGGCCCTGGCAGCACACTCGCTGCTCCTGCACCGAATCTGATGAGTTGGCTATTTTGTGTGAATGTGATGTGCTGGGCCCAGGTGACAGGGGCAGGTGGCATGCCCCAGAGTGTGGCCCTGGTGACCTCAGGTCTCCAGGAAGCAGGTTGCAGTGGGAGCGCCCCCGCCCAGGAGACAGCCCAGGGCTGCTGGCGCCCGCTTGCCCCCTGGGGTTGAGTTTGGCTCTTCCCGGAAGCCTCTCTGGTTCCTCGTTGCCTGTGTGCTCTGCTCGTTCTCAGAAAGGGCCTCCATGTAACCTGGAGGCTGGCCCTGTCCCCCCTTCCTGGTCCTCCAGCACAGGTCAGCAAGGAGCAGCCCTGCTTGGGTGGGACCAATGGGTGGCGATGCTGCTTGGAACCTGGGCCCTTGCACATGTTAGGCAAGCGCTCTACTACTGAGCGACAGCCCAGTCCCTGTTTTTATTTTTTTTTTGGTACCGGGGATCGAACTCAGATCCTTGGGCTTGCGAGGCAGGCGGCAGAACCACTGAGCTAAATCCCCGGCCCTCTGTCCCTGTTTTTAAATGACAGTGAAATGTGCATAATGTCAGATTTACTACTTTAGCCACTTATGGTGGTTGGCTGCCTATGGCAGCACTGCCATTTGGGAGGTGTTTCCCATATTCCAGGAACTAGAAGATACTTAAGGAACTTAAGATAATCCTATGAATTAATAGGCTATCCCTATCTTACAAGTTAAACTTTCTTGAGGATAGCCAGGCATGCATGGTGGGATCCCAGCACTCAGGAGGCTGAGGCAGGAGTATCTCCACAAATTTGAGACCAGCCAAGGGTACATAAAAAGTTTAAGCGCAGCCTGAAATACATAGTGAGACCTTGTCTCAAAAAAAAAAAAAAAAAAGAGGCCTGGGGTTTTAGCTCAGTGGCACTGTGCCCACCTCACGAGTGCAAAGTCCTCAGTTCAATCCCTGGTACCAAAAAAAAAAAAGAAAAGAAAGTTCAACCAGAGAGGTTAAATGACTTTCCTAAAGACACTCAGCTAATGGGCTCCAAGGTTTCTTTTTTCACCAGTTTTCTTTGTCCTCAAACCTAGGTGGATGGGTTTTATCAGGCCCCCCCACTCTCTGTGATACCGGGAATTGAACCCAAGGCCTTCACACACTAGAGAGAAGTACATCTCTCTAGCCTTTTTCTAATTTTTGAGACAGGGCCTCCCTGAATTGCCCAGGCTGGGCTTGAACTTGAGATCTTCCTGCCTCAGCCTCCTGAGACCTGGGATTTCAGGTGTGCACCACCATCCACAGCAGGCTTCATTGTCCCAGTTACATCCGTGTGGAAATTGAAGGCCAAAGTCCCGCCAGTCTCTGCTTGCAGGAGGAGCAGGACTTGAGAGGGGCTCTCTCCACTCTAGCATTCACCTCACTGCCCCTCCCTTCCCTCAGGTGGCCATGGTGGAGGTGCAGCTGGATGCGGACCATGACTACCCGCCAGGGCTGCTTATCGCCTTCAGCGCCTGCACCACGGTGCTGGTGGCCGTGCACCTGTTCGCACTCATGATCAGCACCTGCATCCTGCCCAACATTGAGGCGGTGAGCAATGTGCACAACCTCAACTCGGTGAAGGAGTCACCACACGAGCGCATGCATCGCCACATCGAGCTGGCCTGGGCCTTCTCCACCGTCATCGGCACGCTGCTCTTCCTGGCCGAGGTCGTGCTGCTCTGCTGGGTTAAGTTCCTGCCTCTCAAGAAGCAGCCGGGCCTGCCGTGCCCCACCAGCAAGCCGCCCGCAGGTGAGGCGGCTGCCAACACCAGCAGCAGCGGCATCACGCCAGGTCAGGCAGCGGCCATCGCCTCCACCACCATCATGGTGCCCTTCGGCCTGGTCTTCATCGTCTTCGCCGTGCACTTCTACCGCTCGCTAGTCAGCCACAAGACGGACCGACAGTTCCAGGAGCTCAACGAGCTGGCGGAGTTCGCACGCCTGCAGGATCAGCTGGACCACAGAGGGGACCACCCGCTGACACCCGGCAGCCACTATGCCTGAGCCCCCCGGGCCGGGAGCCTGGGCCTCAACGCCCTTCCTTCTAGTGGCCTCGACCTGCGCCAGCTCAGGGGCAGCCTGTGTGAGCCAGGGCTTCGCAGGCACAGAGTGACAGGAAGAGGCTTTTAGAAAAACGACTGCACCTTGAGACTTTGCTTGGAGAGAATAAGCACTTCCTGTTCTTCCAGCTCCAGGGAGGAAGTGGTGGGGGCAGAGTGAGGACAGATGCTCTCTGTCCCCTTCCTCCACCCCTGTGCCAGTGCCACCCAGACACTTCCGTTCCCACCTCCCTCCCCATTTGGTGTCGAGCGTGTGCGTGTGTGTGCACGCGTGAACACAGAAATATACTCCTAAGGGACACCTCCTCCTTGTGTCTGTGTGTGTGTCATGGCTCGGCTGTCTGGTGTGATTTCTCCTGGTTCCCTGGTCACCGGAGCTTCCAGGTAGAATTTAAAAACTTGGGAGCCAGGGTTGGTGGTGCATGCCTGTGATCCCAGCACTCTGGGAGGCTGAGGCAGGAGGATTACAAGTTTGAGACTAGCATGGGCAATTTAGGGAGACCTTGTGTCAAAATAAAAAATAAAAATGGGGCTGGGGATGTAGCTTAGTACGAAGGTCCTGGGTTCAATTTCCAGTACTGCAAAATAAAAGAGGGGGCAGAGGCTGTAGCTTAGAGTAGTACAGCCCTTGCCTAGCTTGTAGGAGGCCCTGTGTTGGATCCTCATCACTGCAAAAATAAAAGAGCTTTTAACCTTTTTTTTGGGGGGAGGCGGATTTCCAAGCACACAGAAAGGCTGCATGACTGGTAACCAAAATGTGCACACCCTCATTTCTTTCTGTTGGAGGCAGTTACATTCTGTGAAGTCACCATGAACCATGAACATTGGATTAGCAGATATGGAACCACTGGTTTTCCTGGGGAAAACCAGGAGCCAGCCTCGGGCCTGATATTTTGCCCCTGATTAAGGCGCTACCTTGTTGTAGGTCTAATTCTGTTTAAAGATACCTTTATATTGTTTTATGACCATTGCACTCACAGCCAAGAGCATGTAGCTCAAGCCTGAACAAAGCTTATCTAATACGTGTATTTTCCAGTTATAAATTTTCTAATCTGTTTTAGACAACAGCATGTAATAGTTTTGAATTGATTGAAATGTAATACATGTATTTTCTCTGTAAGGCATTTTTGAAAATTTGAGATAGGGTCTTGCTATATAGTTTGGGCTGGCCTTGAGCTCACTGTGGAGTGCCAGATGGCTTTGAACTCACAGCAGTCCTCCTGCCTCAGCCTCCTGAGTGTGCACCACCATGCCTGGCTATCTGTAAGACACATTACAACATTCATGGGTTTAGAATGCCACACAGATCCCTTTGGTGCTAAAGAGACTGAACCCAAGGCTTTTGCATCTGTGACTGAGCTATATCCTTAGCTCACTGGGTTTCACATTAAGCACCACGAGTACCAATAAAGCGCCGGGGATTTAGCTTAGTGGTGCTGTGCCTGCCTTGCAAGCACAGGGTCCTGAGTTCGATCCCCCATACTGGAAAAAAAAAACTACCAATAGAAAGGACAAAACTGTGACACTAAATAGACTATGGATATTTCTTTTTTTTTTTTTTTTGGTACCGGGGATTGAACTCAGGTCCTTGTGCTTGCCCAGCAGGCAACGAAACCACTGAGCTAAATCCCCGGCCCTGGATTATGAAAGGATCCTTGCTCACAGTATGGAAGCTGAGTGTCGCTATTATTTGACCTTAGCAAGTGAATAAATTCACAAATAATGGAATTAGAAAGCCAGGCATGGTGGCACACACCTGTGATCCCAGCACTTGGGAGGCTGAGACAGGAGGATTGCTGAGTTCAAGACCAGCCTGAGCTACATAGCAAGACCCTGTCTCAAAACACCAAAAACAGGGTAGGCTGTGTCTGAGCCCCTGAGCCACATGCCTTAGCAGCAGACCTCGTGGTCTCAGCCTGATACTTCCTCCTAAAGCCAGGGCCTCTCCCCTGCATGGCCACAATTCAGTGATCCGGCTTGGGCAGCCTGGCACTCGCACACCCAGTTCTGTGACACTGATGTTCAGTTTCCCACCTGTCCCTGGAGCTTCCTTTCTAGCTTCTCGTCCTTACCAAGCAGCAGGAGGCTGGTGGTCCACTTTGTCTGCTTTCATGTGGATCAGTTCCTCAGCTATTGTCTGTAACATGAGCGTTTGTGAAGCATTCAGCCCCATAGTTTTGTAGCGTGCTCTGTCCACTCGGCTTCTGCTGTTTTCTCAGTATCTCAATCGGAGGGTGTGGTGTGTCCAGAGGGATATTCTGTGAGATCTTGTCAGGACCCATTTGAAAACAAGACCAGTTAGCCATGAAGTGCACAGGCTGCCCAAGCTCAGCCGGCATCCTTAGGCCTGAGGACTGTTGCATCCTCCCATTCTTCAGGTAACAAAATTGAGGCCCAGGGAGGTGGAATAACCTGGCCAGGATTCAGACCTACAAACTCTGGCTCACAGCTGAGTCCCTTGCAGAAATCGTACCAGGGCTGACTTTGGTTTAGTTGAAAAATGGGACGATCCAGGCGCACTGGGCCCAACTTGCCGAGTGGTAAGGCAGGAGCTGAGATGCAGCCACCCCCTTCCCCAGCCAACTTTTGCCACAATCCCCACTGTTCCCTCGCCCCACAGCGGGCCACCTTCCCTAGTAAATGCGTTACTTGTCAGCCCCACGTAGGCCCTGAGTTTAAGATTCCTGCTTGTCTCCGAAGCCCAGTGGATAAAGGACTCTGGCCGAAGTGAGGGTTGGAATTGATGGGCCTGTTACGTGTCCCTCCGTCACCTCTGGCTAGGCACTGGCCTCACTGCAATCCCCTCTCTCCCCAGAGAAGGCCTGGACATCTTTTGTACATTTCTCAGATGCCCTCTCCCCTCTCCTTTTTGTCATCCTGGAGATTGAACCCAGGGCCTTCACGCTGAGCTACATCCTCAGCCCTTTTTAATTTTTAATTTTGAGACAAGAGTCTTACTAAGTTGCTGAGTTGTCCAGGCTGGACTGGAATTTGCAGTCCTCCTGCCTCAGCCTTCCAGAGTGCTGGGATCACAGGTGTGCACCACCACAGCCAGCTCCTCTTCTACTTCTGCAGAGATCTGGGATTCAGCTCAGTACTTCCTGGACTCTAATCCTGTGCTCTTAGACTCTCCCTCCTAAACTTGCCTGGACTCAAGAATCACCAGCCTGTTGCCCAGCACAGTGGCTGAGACCTGTAACCCCAGCTACAGTTAGTCCCTGACTTCTGTGAACAAGTTCCTTTCTGGGAGAGCATCCCTTAAGTCGGGGACTTACTGTGCTCAGAAGGGTGACAAACTCAGGATCACCCTGGGTACTTTAGACACTATCAGATAAAAGGGCTGGGTGTGTAGGTCAGAGGGAGCCCCTGGGTTCAATCCTCTCTATCACAAAGGACAGAAAACGTAGATTTCCAGTCCCCTTGCTCCCCCTGGAGACTCTGACTCCGGTCAGGCTGGGCATGTCCCCAGAACCTAGCGACCAGCACCTAGCTACTCCCACAACCAAGTAAAGCAGGCCAGTACTGGTCCTTCCAGCACAGGATCAGGCCGGAGTGTACCTCAGTAGTGATGCACATGCTTAGCATGTGTGAGGCCTGGGGTTCCATCCCCGCCTCCAAATAAATAAACAAAGAACACAGTCTATGGTTTATTTATATCTTGGACACAGTAGATAATACATTCACACAGTTCCAAATACAGCAATGTGAAGTTCTCCCGCCCAATTCCTGGGTCACCAGTTTATTGTGTTTCCCTCTGATGACATTTAATACATAAACAAGCACATCCTCTCACTTTTTCTAAAACAAAATGGTTTTATAAACCATTTACCATTTTTGTACCTTAAAAGGAAATGGATCCCAAGTTTTTTTGTTTTGTTTTTGCTTTGTTTTGTTTTGGGGTTTTTTGGGTTTTTTGAGACAAGGTCACGCTATGTAGTTTAGGGTGGCCTCACTCATTGTGTACCCCAGGCTGGCCTCAAACTCAGTGCAATCCTCCTGCCTCAGCCTCCCAAGTGCTGGGATTATAGGTCTGCACCACCACGCCCAGCAATGGATCCCAGGTTTAGACACGGTACTAACTAGGTGACTTGTGAACCTCCCTGAACCTCAGTTTTCTCCTCTAAAATGCCACTAATAGTGCCAGGATTGGTGGCACACACTTGTAATTTTAGCACTTAGGAGGCTGAGGCAGGAGGATCGCACTGAGTTGGAGGTCAGCCTGGACTACAAAGTGAGACCTTATCTCAAAAATTAAAAATAGGAGGCCAGGGATTTAGCTCAGTGGTTCTGGTGCCTGCCTTACAAGCACAAGATCCTGAGTTCGATCCCTGGTACCAAAAATAAATAAATAAATAAATAAAATAAAAAATAAAGGAATACTGTGATGCCTCTCTGTGGGCATCTGGTCCACAGTTAACTTGAATACGTGTTACTGCATCTGCTCTCAAAGCCTTAAAAGATTCCTTAGTTGCGTTTTACAGGAAGAGCAACTGAGGCCACTTGTTAAGGGTCCTGTGGCCCGTTAGCTGGGGGTTCTTGGACCTAGATCCATGTCAGAATTCCGTATGGATAGCCGGGGATTTAGCTCAGCGGCGCCACGCCTGCTTCCCAAGTGCAAGGTCCTGAATTCAAACCCAGTACCTCAAAAAAAAAAGAATTCCCTATGGAATGTACAGGTAACCCTGGGCATGGGATCCCAACATCCATAGCCTGTTTTTGTTGTTCTGCGTGGTAGTGAGGGTACCAGGGCTCATGCACACTCAGCAAGCATTTTAACACCTAGCTCCATTCTCAGCCCTGTCTATTTTTTATTTATTTATTTTTATTTATTATTTTTTTTCCAGAACTAAAAAAAAGACTTTATTTATTGAGGGCGAGAGGATGCAAACAATATAAAAATCAAAGCTTATTTAGCATTTCACTAACTTTCCTTTCTCTGCTTGCCCAATGAGAGCTGGATGTTATTTGTACATTTTCTAAGGGTCCTGATCTGCTCATGGAATCTTTATACACGGGGAAGCTGAGGGGCAGATTCCGTAAGTGGCCCTTTGGGAGAACTCTCATCTGGGCAGGAGTAAATGTTCAATTCTGCCCGCTTCTTTCCCTTCTGCTTCATGTGCACTACAAAATAATCATTGCACGCAATGGTGAGGCCTGCGATTAGTGAAAAGCAGCTCTGGAAGCCCACTCTGCCGTCTCGGCCCTGGTCCAGGTCCTTCATGATTTTGTCCACAGCCACAGGATCTTTTTGATTTTCCAAAAACCCAGGGAACTCCTTTTCCATGAGGACTCACAGGTCCTCCTTCATTAAGTAGCCTTTGTCCCCGGCAAATTTGTGAAATGTAAACATCATGGTTTCCATGGCGTGTTCCATTTGGGATGGCATTTTGGTGAAGTCTGTCGAAACTGGGGCTCTCGGGTTGTGGGCGTTGGGCGGGTGGTGGCCTATTTTTTATTTTTTTAATTAAAAACATTTTTTTTGGTACCAGGGATTGAACTCGGGACCTTGCGCTTTCGAGGCAGACGCAGAACCACTGAGCTAAATCCGAAGCCCTATCTATCTATCTTTAAAGTTTTGTTGTTGTTGTTGTTTTGTTCTGTTTTTTGAGACAAGGTCTCGGTGTGTAGCCCAGACTGGCCTAGAACTTGCACCGCTCCTCCTACCTCAGCCTCCTGAGTGCTGGGATTACAGGCCTGTGCCATCACGTCCAGCCATCATGTTTTTTTAAGCTTCCACAGGATCCCCAGGTTGTGACCCCTATATCAGGGTGCGAAGATGGGCCAGGCCTCGTGGGGGCCAGTATGGCGGGTGCTGGCTCCAGGTCTTTTGAGGCATCTTGGATCAGAGACTGGCAGCCCACTCCCCTCCTCTGCCCCCCAGGCAAACCTGTGAGGCCTCAGCACAACTTTTCTACACCTGGCCTCTCTCCAAGCCCTCCCGCTGCCTCCTCCTACCACAGGTCCTGGAAGCCGCCAGGTTCTTTATTGTTGCACACTCACAGGGTGAAGGCTGAGACAGGAGGTTCTCAGGGAGAGGAGCACTCTCCCCTCTGTTGACAGAGAGCCCTCGGGTACTGGGGGGCGTTAGTTGGCCAGCAGCTGTATTCCTCCCCAGGGGCCGCACCCGTCTGAGGAGCTGGGTGACAAGGTCTCTCCTGCAGGGGAGGGATGGCATCTCAAAGACCTGGACAGGAGCTTTCTCCTTGAAGCCTCACTTGCACCTGCTCTACAAGGGTCTGCACATGTGAGATCTGCCAGGCAGGCCTGGGGCCCCCACCTCATCTGAAGCACTGACCCTGGAGGCCCAGAGAGCAAAGATGTGGGCAGGGCTGGGCTAGACTTCCGGGGACAGAAAGCAGAGCTTGGCTTCCGGAGGCAAGGGCTTGGCCCTCAAGCCTGGAGTGGTGGCACACGCCTATAATCCCAGCGCTTGGGAGGCTGAGGCAGGAGGATCCCCACAAGTTCGAGGTCAGCCTGAACTACATTGTGAGCCCCTATCTCAAAAAACAAAAGCAAGAACCCAGTTCTCTCTGCCCTCCCCAGGAGACCCAGGAGACCTGTGTGTCATTCTGGGCCCTGGAGGTGGCAGGCCTGCCCACCTCCTCACCTGGCATCAGTCTCCTCCCTCCTCCTCTGTCTTCGTGAACATGGCCAAGGCTTCCTGGAGCACGCCGTCAGGGTCCAGAAGCTTGACCTGCGGCAGGTAGAGGGATGTGCTGGGACAGCATGCAGAAGACATGGTCCTGGTTTCTCCTGGGGCTGGCGGGGCCCAGGCCCTGGCTCTGTCCCTCTCTGTCTGGGGCCCCAGGACCCCGGAGGGCTGCCCACCTTAGGAATGGGGAACTGAGTGGGTGCAGGGGCCTCTTCACGACCAAAGTCCATCATGGTGCCACACTTGGCCACGTCCTCTACCCAGAAGCCCTCGAAGAGCTGGCCGTGGTCCAGGTGGAAGAAGCGCCCGTGCCCGTGCTTCTGGCCTCTCTCCCAGCTGCCCTCATAGCGATTCCCGTTCTCTGGGAAAGGATGGGGTGGGTGGGTACGGGGCACAGCCAGCTCACCACTGGGGCCTCCACCAGCCTGGGATCACTGGTGAGTGCAACCTCCATGTGAAAGTGCGTCACAAACAGAAGCATCATTTAACCTCCGAAATAAGCCTAGGAGATACCTTCTCTTTGTACTGTATTGTATTTTGTGTGGTGGGGATGGAGCCCAGGGTCTCATGGGCACAAAGCACCTGCTCTGCCACTGAGCGACATCACTGCCCAAGGGTGACTGATTGGCTGCAGCACTGGGGATTGAACCTGAGGCCTTGCACTGAGTTACACCCCCAGCTCTTTCAATTTTTTATTTTGAGACAGGGTCTCACTAAGTTCCTAAGTCATCCAGGTTGGGCTCAAACTTAGGGTCCTCCTGCCTCCGCTTCTCATAATGCTGGGGTTACAGGTGTGTACCATCACCCCCAGCTCCAAGGTCTGTTTTCATCCCTGTTATAGATGAAGAGATCCAAGCACACAGTTCAAGCAAATCACCTGAGGTCCCAGCACTGGGACATGTGCAGGCTGGGTTCTGAACCCAGGCAGGCCGGCATGGAGTCCAGGACAGGAGAGGAGACCCACTGATCCTCTTGCCCTGCGCTGGCCACAGTGGGCACCTGCTGAGTGCAGCCACTCGGGTCGGTGCTCAGGGGAGGCTGCCCGGAGCTGGACGGACAGAGTGGCTGCTCTTAAGTTTGGGGTCTAAAGTGTCCCCCATAGGGCTCCCTGTGGTGAAACCTTGTTCTCCTTACAGCAGTGTTAAGGGGTGGCACTTCTGGAAAGCGATCAGATCCCAAAGGTGCTAGCCTCATCCATCACCCATGTATTGATCCAGTGATGCACTGCTGACTAGGCTCCTAAGAGGTGGGGCCCACTGGGCCTGGTAGCCCATGCCTGTAATCCCAGCAGTCTGGGAGGCTAAGGCAGGAAGATCAAAAGTTTGGGACCAGTCTGAGCAATTGAGCAATTTAGCAAGACCTTAATATTTTTTTTTTGGTACCAGGGATCGAACTCGGGTCCTTGTGCTTGCACAGTAGGCAGCGAAACCACTGAGCTAAATCCCCAGCCCAAGACCCTAATATTTTTAATATTTAAAAATTTCAAAAGGGCCAGGGACATAGCTCAGTGAGAAAGCCCTGGATTCAGTCACCAGTGCTTTAAAAAAGATTTTGGGGCCTAGTTGAAGAGAGTGGGTCATAGGAAGGTAACCTCAGGGACTGTATCTTGTCCCTGACCCCTCTTGTCTGGCCCTTCCCCTTTCTCTCTGCTTCCAGGCTGCCACGAGGTGAACAGCTTTCCTCCGTCAGGCCCTTCTGCCATGACAAGATGGAGGCAGTTGACCATGGACTCCACCTCTGAAACCATGAGCCAAAACAAACCCTCTCCTCCATAAAGTTGTTAGGGCTGGGGATTTAGTTCAGTGGTTCTGCCTCCTGCCTTGCAAATGCAAGGACCCGAGTTCAATCCCTGGTACCAAAAAAAAAAAAAAGTTGTTCTCAAGCATTTTATCAACAGCATAAAGCTGACTAACATACCCACCTTTGCCCTCCCAGCTGCCCCAAGGAGGAGAGGAAGCGGAAGGGTGAATGGGGCCAAACTCCTGGGCCTGAACTCAGCCCAGGACAGTATGGAGCCACAGAAGGCCTGGGAGCAAGGAATAACGAGGTCCACTCGATTGTCTTCCTTGGCTTTATGCATACCTGGCTTTTTCCTTCCCTTCAGGTCTCTGTTGAAATGCTCAAACATTGCCTCCCAACTCCTTTGTCACCGGTTCCTAAGAAGTCTTTAGCACTTTCTCTCTTTTTTTTTTGGTACCGGGGATCGAACTCAGAACCTTGCACTTGCAAGGCATTTGACCCACACCTAAGAGCCTGTATAACATTAAGTGGGGACTTCAGTTTTCTGTACCTCAGTTATGAGTGTCTAATTTCTAGGATTGTTGTGAGAATTAAATGACCTCAGGGCTATGATTATTATTGCTAGTATAAGAAAATCGTCTTATTTATCTGCTTATTGTTAGATTCTTTTTTTTTTTTTCTAGATTCTTTTATTTTTAAAAATTTATGGGCCAGAGATTTAGCTCAGTGGCAGCGCGCCTGCCTCGCCAGCACAAGGTCCTGAGTTTGATTCCTGGTACAAAAGAAAAGAAAAAAAAGAACTCACTAAGGAGCTGGCTTTGTGGGGGGGGTGGCCAGGCACGGCGTGGCCAGAAGGGTCCAGAGGAAAGTGACCTTGTGGGTGGGGAGCGGGTCTGGGCGTGGTCCGAAGTGCGCGTGGGCGTGGCCTATGGAGGGCGGGGCGCTGGGCGGTCGGGGCACTCACTCAGGCGCAGCATGCCCTCCCCGTGGGGCGTGTCGTTCCACCAGTGGCCCTCGTAGATGTCACCATTGCTGTGGTACATGCGGCCCCACCCGCTGCGCTGGCTGCCACACCACTCACCCTCGTAATACTCCTTGGGTCCGAAAAACTGGATCCCATAGCCCTGAAAGCGAGAAGGTGGCCCTGTTCGCGGAGGTGCCCGGTTCACGGTGTCCCCACCTTGCTAGGCACCCAAGCCGCACACACCTGAGCTGCTTCCGCCCTCCGACCTCTACCTTTTCTAGCCCTCTGCCTCCGTGGTCATGCAGCCCCATCGCTTCTCCTCTGTCCCTTCCCCTCCCCTACATACAGCAGCCAGACAGACTGTGTGTGTGTGTGTGTGTGTGTGTGTGTTGTACACAGGCCCTAGACTATGCTAGGCAAGGGGTCTACCACTGAGCTACACCCTCACCCTTTCTATTCTGAATTTTTTTTTTTTTTGGTACCAGGGATCTAACTCCAGTCCTTGCGCTTGTGCAGCAGGTGGCGAAACTGCTGAGCTAAATCCCTAGCCCCTCTATTCTGATTTTGAGACAAGAGTTTGGTAAGTTGCCAAGGCTGGTCTCCAGCTTGCCATCCTCCTGCTTCAGCCTCCTGAGTTGCTGGGATTACAGGCGTTCACCACCACGCCAGCTCAGAAAGATCTTTAACCACTCATCTGCTCACACCAGGCCAGCACTCCCAGCCAACTCTGATTTTGGCCCCATTAACATCAGCCACCTCTGGGAATCACATCAAAGCTATATGAACTTTCTCCTCAAATGAATGAAAAGGCCCCACTTGAGTCCAGCCCCCAGGACCAGGCACTGCCTGCAGGTCGCTCTGGAGGCTGCGTCAAGCAGCCGAGTCTACTCTGAAGCCTCTGTTCCCCATTGCCCAAGCTGGGCTTGAACTATCACTCCTTCTGACTCAGCCTCCCAGAGTGCTGGAATCACAGGCATTTACCACCACACCTGCTGATGCTGTGTGTTTTTGAGTTTGACTCCATCAGCAAAATGGAAATGATGATGATGACGATGATAAGTTATTCTGAGAGTTAATTCAGGTGCCGCATACACATTCCAGGCTCACAATAATAGTTGCTCAATAACAATACTGTTGTCATTATTTTTGAGACAGAGTCTCCATATTTGCCCAGGTTGGCCTCATGGGCTCATGTGATTCTCATGCCTCAGCCTCCCAAGTACCTGGGACTACAGGTGTGAATCACCACCTCTTACTCAAGACACTGTCATTACTGGTCGCCATGGTCCATGGTTGAGGGTCTGTCCAAGTCTAGGAGAGTGAGCTGAAGAAATGTGTTCTCACTTTGGGCATCGTGGCTGCCTGCGCACCTCTGGCCAGCTTCTACCCCTTCTTCCTGTCCATCTGTGCCCAAGGGCATGGCCCCTGCTTTCTTGGTCCTGTTTCCTACCCTCCCCTTTGACTTAGGCCCAACACAAGGGGCATTCTCAGAAAGGGACACCCAGAGGAAAGGAAGCCGGAAACCAGGGGAAGAGGGTGGAGGAGGCCTCACCCCATACCCGGCTCCTCCCGGGCCTGCCACTCTCGCTTCCTGTTTGCCGGGTTTTGTTTTGAGAACCCTTGACTGTTCCCCCACCCTTTTCCTCTCCCACCCATCTGGCAACCCCGATCTCTCCCCAGAGGACCCTCCCTTTTTTCTCGGGCCCATTTTTTTGTTGTTATTTCTTTAATTTTTTAAATTTTGTTTTGAAGGAGGGTTTTGCTACATTGCCCAGGCTGGACTTAAGCTTACAATCCTCCTGCCTCAGCCTCCAAGGGTGCTGAGAATACAGACATGTGCCACCACACACTCAGCTTCCCAGGCATCTCTGACTGCTCCTCTACACACATACACACACCCCTGCCTGGCCACGCCCCAGGGGATGCAGGGAACACTCACTGATTTCTTGTCTCCTTTCCACCAGCCTGAGTACACTCTTCTGTATTTTCCTGTCTCCTGCTCAAGCAGGCTGAGGGTGCCGTAGCCTTCTCGCTTCCCAAACCTCCAGTCCCCTTCATAGATGGCTCCTCTCTTCTTCCAGACTTGTGTTCCCTTCCCTGGTGATGAAGAGGGCCCAGTGCTGCAGACATGACCACCTGGGGCTGGTGGCCATGGGCCTGGCCAGGCCTCGGGACCAGTGCCTGATGTTCTTGTAGGCTGAGTCAGGGTGTGCACTTCCTCGCCAGACTGACCACCCAGGAGAACCCCAGGGCAGCCCCCTTTCTCCAAAGAGTAGCTCTCCAGCCTTCTGCCCTGGAGCCAAGCTGACAAAGTAAACCCTAAACCCCAAGGAGAAATCTGCCCCTCAGCATTTCAGCCCCATCTCTCTCTCTCTTTCTTTTTTTTTTACAGGGTCTGCTATGTACCTCAGGCTGGCCTTGAAGTCACTATAGCCCAGGCTGGCCTCAAATTTGCAGTGATCTTCCTGCCTCAGCCTCTTGAGTACTGGGATAACAGGTGTGTGTCAACACACCTAACTTTACCTCTTTTTTTTTGGTACCGGGGATCGAACTCGGGCCCTTGCACTTGCAGGGCAGGCGGCGAAACTACTAAGATAAATCCCTGGCCCCCTTAACTTTACCTCTTAATAATTCCACCTGGATGCCACAAGTGGCCAAGGTTCCCAGGAGATGTTCTGGATGTTTTCTTGAGTTCTAAACACATCCATGTCCTACTAATCCAGGCCCTCCCCTCGCCTGCTCCCTTCACGATTGCAGTCCAGTAGCTCTAGGTTTCATACTGGCTGTGCTCCTACCTCAGAGCCTTTGCACCAGCTTGCGCTTTGGCCTGGAACCCTCATGTCCAGGGTCTCATCCTCCTCCTCCAAGCCTTGCTTCAGAGCCCGCTTTCTGACCACCCCTGAACACCCACCCCTCTCCCCTTACTCTGCTGTCTCCATGACCCTTGGAGGCTCCTAACACAGTGGCTACTTCCCTTACTCTGACATTTACCATCTACTGCCCACCTCTCCTGGGGAAATGTGAGCAAAAGAATGAGTAAAATACTTTTTTTTGAGACTAGGTCTATGTAGCCCTATGTGGCCTTGAACTCACAGTGATCCTCCTGTCTCAGCCTCCTGAGTGGTGTGATTACAGGTATGCACCACCACACCTGGCCATGAGTAAAATACTGATGAAGTGTTTGCCTGGGTTAATTCATGTCTTGGTCCTTGATAGCCTGGGACAAAGCCAACATTGTCCCTATGAACTTTGTGACATTGACAAATAATTCTTTGGGTTTCTCTGGGCCTCAGAGAGCCTTCCTGTATAAAATGGGGACAAGAATATCTCCTGGGACAATCTAAGTGTGCGTGTGTGTGTGTGTGCGTGCGTGTGTGGTACTGAGAACTGAACCCATGACCTCACACATGCTGGGTGAGTGCTCTACCACTAAGCCATATCCCCAGCATATCCTAAGTATCCTGGGTATCCTGTAAGCCCAGCACTCTGGGAGGCTCAAGTTTAGCTTGGGCAATTTAGCAACTTAGGAAGACCCTGTCTCTCTCTCTCTCTCTTTTTTTTTTGTACCAGGGATCGAACTCGGGACCTTGCACTTTCAAGGCAGGCGGTGGAACCACTGAGCTAAGTCCCCGGCCACTCTTTTTCTTCTTTTCTTTTTTTTTGAGCAAGACCCTGTCTCAAAAAATAAAAAGGACTGGGGATGTAGCTCCGTGTGAATGCCCTGGATTCCAGCCCCAGTACTGCAAACAAAACCAAAAACAAAGCAGGACAATAGAGCAAGATAAAAGAATGTTATTCAGCTTTTAAAAAGGAGCTGAGCCAAGGGATTTAGCTCAGTGGTTCTGCTGCCTGCCTCACAAGTGCAAGGTCCGGAGTTCGAACCCCCAGTACAAAAATAAATAAATAAATTTATTTTTAAAAAGGAGCTGAAATTGAGCATGGTGGTACACACTTGTAATTCTACTTAGAAGGTTGAGGCAGGAGGATCACAAGTTCAAGGCCAGCCTGGGTAACTTAGCAAGATCTTGTCTCAAAATAAAAAGTAAAAAGGGCTAGAGAATCTAGCTCAGTGCTCCTTGGGTTTTATTCCCAGTACCACCAAAAAGGAAAAAGAAGAGAAGGAAGAAGAGGAAAAGGAAGATGAGGAGGGAAATCATGCCATTGTGGCCACATGGATGAACCTGAGTATACTATGATATGTGAAATTAAGCCAGACACAGAAAGACAAATAGTTCACGATCTCACTTATATGTGTAATCTTTAAAAAGCCAAAAAGCTCATGGAAACAGAGAAGAGGCTCAGGGTGAAGAGTACTTGCCTAGATGTGTGAGGCCCTATGTTTGATCACAAAATAAATAACTAAAGTTAAACATAGAACACCTTTTGACCTAGCAATTGTTTCAACTCTCCAAGAGAATTGAAAACAGATGTTCAAGAAAAAACTTGTACACAGCTGGGCTTGGTGGCACACGCCTGTCATCCCACCATTGTGAGGCTGAGGCAGGAGGATCACAAGTTTGAGGCCAGCAGGCCAGCCTGGGCTACATAGTGAGTTCTTGTCTCAAAAAAAAAAAAAAAAGTGAACTCTCTAGAATTTCAAGGCAAGTTAGAAGTTTGATCAGGTTTTCAAATTAAAAACTTTTTCCCTCATTAGGGTTTAGATTGTATCGCCAGGACTCTGGCCAGACCCAGGGCCCCATAGCCCAATTAAGTCTCCTGAGCGTTCCAGGATGGCTTCTGTCCCCGATGAGCTCTGCACACTGCTTCATGGCTCCATCACTGCCAACCACACCTCCACCCATATGGTGGCCACCTTGCCCCCAGATCCCCACGTACCATGTCTCAGGTTGTCCTTCCACTCGCCCGTGTAGTGGTCGCCGTTCATGTTGTACACTTGGCACCTCAACCCATTCTTCTGGGCCTTCTCGTCCCAGCCCTTCCACAGGGGCTCTGATTTCTTTGGACACTTGGAGACTGGCATGTCAGCTGCTTGTGTGGGGCCACAGGGTACTGGCAGGGGGTGAGAACATCAGGGGCTCAGGGCCCCTCGTGTGATGCCCAGCTCCTGTTGCAGCAAAGTGGGGGGAGTCATGTGTCTGCTGAGTCCCAGTGCAGGTGAGCAGCCTTTGGTGGGGGACCCTGCTGTGCTGGAATGACCCTCTGCTGTCCCCTCCTCTGGCGTCCCCTGGGGACCCCTTCTGGGGAGGGGGTCTGATGGCACAATTGCTCGGGAACCCAGGGAGACCAGTAGAAACCTGGGTCTGTGATGGCACCAGGGAGAAGCTGTCCCTGGAGAAGGATGACACCCACGTATTTAAGGACCAGAATGACCAACCTCAGAGGTGCTGGTCCTTAAGTCTGGAGGAGCTCCAGGGGGAAGGGCAAGGTGGTGCGGAGCACTGGGGCCCATGCAAGGGGACTGGGGGTGCCTGGTAGACAGCTGCCCGGTAGATGGGACAGTGGTGAAGACTTAGCAGGGGCACGAGAACTACTGGGAGAGACTGCCAAGTGGAGAGACTGCCTCGACGGTGACAACTGTTTTGGAAATGAAAGATTTCTGGGATGTCAGACTTTCAGTGTTAAAACCAAGACAGTGCCAGGCACACCAGGACTCTGCATGTGAGTCGACCCCATCACCTAGTTATTTTTTTCCACCAGACCTGGCTGTGCTCCTGGTGCTGCCTGATGGAGTCACTGAGGGATGCTGGGTGGCCCAGGGCCTCCCCACAGTGTCTAGGAGCCCATATCTGTGTTCCTTGTGTCCTCAGGACCTCATGCAGACATTCATGTCCATCTGTCTCTCTCTCTGGGGCTTCTTTAGGAAGCTACATCCCCAGAAATCCCCTCCTTTTATTGAGACAGGGTCTTGCTAAGTCACTAAGTTGCCCAGCCTGGGCTTGAACTTGTGATCCTCCTGCCTCAGCCTCCCAGAGTGCTGGGATTACCCGGGTACATTTATACCTTACACTGCCCTTTAGGTAATCAGTCTTGCACACACCTGCCAGTTGCTGGATGTTGAGGGAGTCTAGAGTCCCAGGGAGAGCTCAGGAAGGGGAGAAGGGAGTCTGGCTGGCCAGGGCAGCAGTGTGAAAGGGTTTTGCTCCTGGCTGAGCACTAGGGTTTCCAGTCTGTATTCGAAGCATCCTTATGTGTTCTTGGAGTCCAAGCTCAATCCTGCCTTCTCCCTCTGGGATGCTGGGCCTGGAATATCCCACCCCTGCACAGCCCCCTCCTCCAAGAGCAGTTTCCTTGGCAGGGCCATGGGGACTGTGTCTCCACCATGGCCAGTGCCTGGACATAGTAGGCTATCAGCCAGGAAGAGCCAAGTGGGCTCTCACTGCATCCTTCCTCTTTTTTTCCTTCTCCTTCCTCCCTCTGCCATTTCACTTCCTCCAAGTAAAGGATTTCCTGGGACTTCAGACTTCCAGTGTCTGACTATACGTATGGCCATCTAGACACAGATGGGCAGAGCACTGCTCTGTGCCTGAGCCATCAGTGAGGCCTGGACCATACCAGTTGTTCCATACTTTGACAGTCATGGCCAGGAAGACAGAAAATCATTGCAGGCAAAGAAAACTGGGAGCAGGAACCAGACTAGGTCCTAGATATCATATTGTTTTCTGCTGAGTACCACGTGCTCATGAGTACCTCATTTTTAAATTAACTCACTTTAGAAAACTGATACATTTATCCAAAAAGTAGACTTTACACATCATTACTAAAACTGGAAAACCACTACTAGGTACCTTAAACTGAAGATAACTGTAAAAAATAAAAATATTGAAAAGGACCAACTCAACTCCAGTCTGAGTTTGATACCATGGTTTATAATTGGCTAGGCTCTAAGGTCTCTGTTAAATGAGATGTGCTGGTTGTGGTGGCACAGGCCTGTGATCCCAGCACTTAGGAGGCTGAAGCAGGAGGATTGTCACAAGTTTGAGGCCAGCCTGGACTACATAGTTGAGTTCAAGGCCAGCCTGAGATGCATAGCAGACCCTGTCTCAAAACAAAACAGTAAGCCATGCGATGAGAGATAAGCAAAATTTAAAATAGATGTTGTTGGACCTGGAATTTAGCTCAGTGGCACCAGGATTGACTCAAAAGTGCAAGGTCCTGAGTTCAATCCCTGGTATCAATCAATAAATAATAATAATAAAATAAAATAGGTGTTGCCAGGCATGGTGATCCACATCTATAATCTCATAGTGAAAGACATCGCAAAACCCTGTGTGTGTGTGTGTGTGTGTGTGTTTGTTAAGCCAGACACGGTGGCACAAGCAGCACTCTGAGGCTGAGGCAGGAGAATCACAAGTTCAAACCTAGCCTGGCAATTCAGCAATTTAGTGAGATTCTGTTTCAAAATGTGAAAAAGGGCTGGAAATATAGCTCAGTGTGAAGGCCTTGGATTCAATCCCCAATACCAGAGAGGGGGAGAGACCACATTAACCCCAAATTCCCAAACTGACACTTTCTCCTTGGTTTACTCAGAATTTTAAGAGAACCCTAACTCTAATTAATTTCCTTTTATTTCTTCTCTTGGTGGAAAGGATCAAAGCTACTCCCTTGCACATGGTAGCCAAGTGCACCACACGGAGCCACACCCTCAGCGCGAGTCTAATAACTTTCCGATGAGGTTTCCAGATGTTACTGCTTCACCAGTGCATCTTAAAATCCACCCCCCGCCCCAAACTTTGGAGAACACAGGCTCTACTCCGGGGGAGCTTTCAGCCTCATTGCAAAGCTGTGGAGAGGAGAAGAAAGGCTTGCAAGCCCGCCGGGTTATTTTGTCCCTGAATGAGAGTAACAGTGGAGGGGGTGGGACGGGGCCCAGACACCTTGGGGTCAGGTCCAGCCCGGCCCACCTGCGCCCACCGGCGATCGATCGCGGCTTCCCGAGTGGGCCTCACAGTTCTTGTCCTTGGCTGAGCCGCCGGGTCAGGGTCGCTATGGCAACCCGCCGCCCCAGCGAACAGCACTGCAGAGCCCGCCCCTTCCTGCTGAGACCCTGTAGCGGGAAATTTTGAAGGGCGAACCAATATCGCACTGGGTCTTAGTCTTGTGGAAGTTCCGTACACACGCCAGCCCCGGAGGATACATACATGTCACATACACAAGTGGGCTCAAGTCCCCAAAAGCCACAGTCCTAGCGGGCTACGGTGGCAAAGCCCTGTAATCTCAGCTACTCAGGGGGCCAAGAGGGTGGCAAATTCAAAGCCAGCCTGGGCAATTTAGTGATTTAGGGAGACTCTGTCTCAAAATAAAAAATTTAGGGGCGGGGATTTAGCTCAGTGGCACCGTGGCTGCCTCGCAAGCACAAGGTCCTGAGTTCGATCCCCGGTACTAGAAAAAAATTAAAAAAAAAAAAAAAATTGGGCCGGGTATTTAGCTCAGTGGTTCTGCCACCGCCTTGCAAGCGCAAGGACCCGAGTTCGATCCCCGGTACCAAAATTAAAAAAAAATAAATAAAAAATAAAAAATTTAAAAAGTGCTGGGGATGTAGTTCAGTGCAAAGGTCCTGGGTTCAGTCCTTACAGTGGCCTTGGAGACCTGGGGTGACCTCCCTGGCCCTTCCCCTTTCCTCTCTGCTGTGTCCCCTACTCCTCGCCCTCAGTCTCTGCCCCAGCCACACTCGCACTTCCTTTTGCTCCTGGAAAATGCTGGGTCCGTCCCTGCCTCAGGGCTGCTAGGTCTTCTACACACTAGAGCCACCCTGTTCACAATCAGAATTTCCACAGCTACTTGCCAGTCCTCAATCCTGTTTGTGTTTTGTGTAGTGTTTAGCACCAACACATTCGGGCACACACACTTATTTACTTTTTTGGCACGGGGCTTGAACTCGAGTCCTTGCACTTGCAAGGCAGGCAGCAGAACCACCAAGCTAAATCCTGGGCCCTCGTGCACACACACTAATTGTTTGTCTTTGAAGATAAGATTTTCTTATCACTCACTTTTATTTTATTTTATTTTTTGGTACCGGGGATCAAACTCGGGTCCTTCTGCTTGCGAGGCAGGTGGCCGAACCACTGAGCTAAATCCCCAGCCCTCCACTTTTATTTTCAATAAAAAAATGTTACTCGGGATAGAGTGCTTGTCTAGCATGCATGAGAACCTGGGTTCAATCCCCAGTACCAAAAAAAAAATTCATGTGGGGGTTGGTGGTGCATGCCTATAATCCCAGTATTATAGACAGCTGAGTTAGGTAGAAATATTGTAGGCAGTCAGATAGGGCCGGGTCCTCGACAGAGTCAGGTCAAAGGTGAAACACACCACAGCTGCACTGGAGACACATCGGCTCCAGATAAAGACAAGGTGACCAGACCTACGTGTGTCCTCAAAGGACAAACACTGGGCCTAATGAAGTCTAGACAGACATCAGCCACCCCAGTGGGTGACCAGGACCTTGGACCCCCCACTTCCTAGGAGAAGTCTTTGTTCTTTGCATCCACGCTTGTTACGTGACTTGTTTCCCAACTGGACCACCATTACCAAAGTGACTATACTTGTAAACTTATTGGATGATCATGGCTGTAGCCCATGTTGTACCTACATGGGTTCACTCTATAAAATTCTCCTGTAGAGTGGGGTCCCTGCCTTCCCACTTGGGACCCCTTCTGCCCCTCAGGGGCCTTCCTATCAATAAATATCTTCCTACTCTTTTTTTTTTCTGGTACCGGAGATAGAACTAAGGTCCTTGCGCTTGCGGGGCAGGTGGGGTAACCACTGCGCTAAATCCCCTGCCCTATCTTCCTACTCTTAACCTCTGTTGTTCCTAGAATTCATTCTTCAATTATTAGAGAATAAGAACTGGGCGTATCAGACAGCTAACAGGTTGGAAGATATATTTCATATTTCTTATTTTTTTTTTGGTACCGGGGATCAAACTCGGGTCCTTGCGCTTGTGCAGCAGGCGGCGAAACCACTGAGCTAAATCCCCAGCCTATATTTCATATTTCATCTCCAATATTATTTCCTGTATCACCAGCACTTTGGGAAGCTGAGGCAGGAGGATGCCAAGTTTGAGGCTAGGCGATTTAGGGGGTTTTGGGGGGGGGTTATTTATTTATTATTTTTGTTTGTTTGTTTTGTTTTGTTTTTGAGACAGGGTCTCACCAGGTAGTCCAGGCTGGCCTTGAACTGACTATGGAGCCCACACTGGCCTCAAACTCCCAGTGATCCTCCTGCTTCAGCCTCCTGATTGCTGGGCTTACAGGGATGTGCCATCATGCCTGGCATTCTGTATCTTTTTTTTTTTTCAGCACTGGGGATCGAACTCAGGATCTTACTCTGGCCAAGAAGGCACGGTGCCACTGAGCTAAATCCCCGGCCCCGTTCTGTATCTTATACACCGATCAGCTTCCTTGTGCTCACAGTGGAGATTGTGGCCCCTTAGCTGACCACCTGTCCCATCTCTCACAGAAGTCAACTGCCGTCCCAAATTCCAAGCCCGCCTTCCTCACTGCCCTGGCCACATTCTGGAGTCCACCCTGACCCTCACACCTCATCACCTCTCCTCAACTCCTCAGGCACCTGGCCAGCAGCCCTAGCCAGCCTTCACCCTGGTACAAACTGTCCCTTGGCCAGTGGCCCTGTCTGAGCCGCCCTGCCACCTGCTGAGCAGCTTCTCAAGGTAACCAGGCTGATGCACAGCCCCAGCCTCATTCCCCCTCGTGAGGGACACTTTCCTGGCCCCCGATGAGATCCTGGGTCAGGGGCAGCAAGGCTGGCCCCACAGGGTAAAGTCCAGGCTGTGGCTTATCTGAGTAGGGCAGCAGGAAGGGCAGGTCACGAATCTACCAGACTCTTCTCCCTGTGACAGGGACGAATCTGGTGGCATTTTCCACAGGCCTCCATGTGGGTGGCATGGCCTGGCCTCTCCCCCGCAACCTGGGGGCTCCTGCCCCAAATACCCTTCCTTATTGCTTGGCCTATCAATGGCTGGAGTACAGACTCCTCCACGGGAGGCTGATTACAACTTGGGGTACAGGGAGTTCCCACTGGAGTCTGGAGCATAGGGATGCCCCACATGCCCACGAAATGTTCTCTGAGGTGAGGCCCCGGGGACGTTTTCCTCTGCAGAGCTCTGGCTTTTGAGCTGTCCTATCCAGGGGGTGCCACTCCCACTGACAGCACAGCCCATAGTAAGGGCACTCAAGGGTGAGCAGCCAGGTCCCTGCATTCCCAGAAGTAGCAGAAAGGACCCAGCTGTCTGCACAATAGACAAAGGTGGAGACGGCCCAAGAATCCATCAGCAGGTGAGTGAGCAAACAAATATGGTCTATCATACAATGGAACATTATTTGGCAATTAAAAGGAATGAAGTTCCCATACATGCTTAGGATGGGGAGCAATCTTGAAAACATAATGCAGAGTCAAAGGAGCCACATGCAAAAGACCACTAACCATGATTCCATTCATTTGAAATGTTCAGAATCACCCTGGCATGGTTGTGCTCACTTTAAATATCAGCCCTCTGGGAGGCTAAGGCATGAGGATTACAAGTTTGAGCCCAGCCTAGGCAATTTAGAGAGACTCTGTCTCAAGATTTTAAAAAATAGTATGGCTGGGCATGATGGGCCACACCTGTAATCCCAGCACTCAGGGGGCAGAGGCAGGAGGATCTCTTTGAGTTCAAGGCTAGCCTGGGCTACATAATGAGTTCAGGGTCAGCCTGAATTACAAAGTGAGACTCTGTCTCAAAAACAAAAAATTAATAAATAAATATTAAAAGATTAAAAAAATTGGGCCGGGGATTTAGCTCAGTGCTTCCGCCTCCTGCCTTGCAAGAGCAAGGACCCGAGTTCGATCTCCAGTACCAAAAAATAATAATAATAATAATAATAAAAAGAGGCTGAGGATAAAGCTCAGTGTGAAGGCCCTGGGTACCACACACAGGCAAACATGTACACATAGCTGAGCTATCCAGAATAGGTACATCCACAGAGGCAGAAACACAGATTAATGGAAGAAGGGAGAAGATAGAGGGGAGCGTATGAGATTTCTTTTTGGGATGACAAAGTTGTTTTAAAATTGACAGTGGTTAGGCCGGGGATTTAGCTCAGTGGTTCTGCCACCTGCCTTGCAAGCACAAGGTCCTGAGTTCAATCTCCAGTACCAAAAAAAAAAAAAAAAAATTATAAGATTGACAATGGTGATGGTTGCACAACGCTGTGAATGGAATAAGAACTATTCAATTGTACACTTTAAATGAGTAAATTGTATGACATGTGAATTATATCTCAAGAAAGAGATGGGCCGGGGATTTAGCTCAGTGGTGCCGCCTCCTGCCTTGCAAGCTCAAGGTTTTGAGTTCAATCCCCTTAACTCCCCCCCCAAAAAGAAGGCCGTTTTTATTTTTATTTTTTCATTTTTTAAGACATGGCCTACCTATGTATTCCAGGCTAACTCTAAACTGACTATGTAGTAGTCCCGGCTAGACTTCCAACTCACAGCGATCTGATCCCAGTGCTGGGTTTACAGGTTTGCGCCACCAAGCCCGAGCAAGTCATTTTTAAATCTGCAGTGCGGAACGGGCGCCCTCTAGGGGATCTCAAATTTCCAGAGTGAGTCACTGACCAATTTTGTTTGAGACAGGGTCTTGCTATGTGGCCCAAACTGGCCTTGAGCTCCTGATCCTCCTGCCTCAGCCTCCAGAGCGCTGGGGTTACAAGCTTACGAGCCATGCCTGGCTAGTTTCGTTTGCTGTGGAGCTAAGAAGTAAACCCAGGGGCAGTGCTTGCTCGGGAGCTACACTCTCAGCCCCACTTCGTTTCCACATCTGCTAAGCACCAGAGAGATGCCGAAAGTTGTAGCGTGGTCTGCCATGTTTAATTACTTTCGCTGCTGTGCTAGGCATTGAAGCCAGGGCTTTGTCTGTCACTCAGCTACACCCCAGCCCCGGTGTACTTTCGTATTACAGTGTAAAATACGTAGGAAAGTGGATGTATCATCGGT